AACCGTATGATATTGGATTACGCGAAAAGAAATATAATAACATAATTATATTAAAGCTGCAAAGTAGCTTTGTCGGGTCCAATTGTGAAGGCTATGCCCTAATATGTATGTTATTTTCATAAACAGATGTTCATACACGCCGCAAGTTGATCGGATAAAGCAGTCCTGAGTAACAGATCCGCCAAATTTTGGCCATTTTTAGAGAAATGTTTGCGGCCAAACTATGATACTGATAAACATTGTTTTATTTTTCGCAGCATAAGCTTTGGCCTTACATGTTACAAGCAACACATGATGAATTTGATCGGTTAAGTACTCATAAGTAACAAATTACCCAAATTGTGACAATTTTTGCCAAAAATCTAAGATGGCGGCCAAAGCATATGCCTGATTCCAATTATTTTATTTTTCTCATAAACGCTACACCATGTTGATCGGTTGAAGCGCTCCTGAGAAACAAATGTTTTGACATTTTGGCAAAAATCCGAGATGGTGGCGAATTAGTGTCCGAGAGAGTATAAGAAAGAAAGAAATTTCAGAAGTCAATGCTGTTCTGGTTCTAGGACGACAAGGAAACGGCGGAAGAAAACAACGGAACAAAAACAATAGGGTTTAAACGGACCTTAATACGTGGGTATGAAATATAACATAAAGGTTACATAGCATGCATGTAAATAATTGCGTACATGTATTATGTTTAACCCGCCAAAAACATTTTGGCACACGGAGAAATTCAATTATAATTTCTAGCGGGCTGATATTTTTTCGTTAATTCAAATATTTTGGCAGGTAACATTTCCATATGATCAACAGTATGAGTTTCCGGTGTATTTGATCTCTTTTATATGTTTTATATTGGACTCAATTCACTTATAATAATGTGTTTATTCCACACTATATGTTACTATATGTCCAAAAGTACACACAGCAGTACCAACAAATATACAAGGGTTGAGAGAGCACACAGGACAAAATAAGTAATATATGTCATGATATGTAAACAACAAAGCATGTTAACTACTAACATATGGCAATTGACCCTGTACACACAGGAAGTCCTCATTATGCAAATTATGTAACCTTGTTTACTTATACTTGTTTGGAGTTGAATAAATCAGTTCTTAGTAGTAGTAGCTAGAGACAGTGTCTTTGTCAATTAATAAACATAACATGGTATCAGAAGTGCTGATTCCTGCATGACAGTTGTTTGAAACTCACCATAGAGAAGTGACAACAGGTTGAGCTGAAGAGGAAGAACTTCTGAGAAAATCTTTTAAAAAGCGAGATTTTCAGAGTCACCCAAGATCAAGCTACAACAGTGCAGAGAACAAAGAGAACAAAGGACTTCACAACAAGATACTGTGACCTTTTGAAAAGAACAAAGACGACTGAGAAGTAAGTGTTTCTAGAAGTCATTCATGGTAAATTATGGCACACAATAATTTTAGACAACCACCAGAAATGGATTTTACCACTGAAGGCAATAAGGCTGAAAGATGGAAACAATGGAGGAAAACAGTAGAGTCGTATTTAGATGTTGGTATGGCAGACAAAACTGATGCTGAGAAAAGCAAAGTTATTCAGTACATCATAGGCCCTGAAGGTAGGGAAATCTTTGAAACTTTTGAGTTCACTGAAGAAGATGATGACAAAAGCACTGTACCAAAAGACATCCTAGACAAGTTTGAAAAACATTTCGCCTTAAAGAAAAGCCTTGTAATTTCTCGTCACAAGTTCAACACTAGAAATCAAGGAAGAAATGAATCCATTGATGATTTCGTCACAGCACTAAATATTAGCAAAGGATTGTGCATTTGGCACAATGCGTGATATGAACTGATTCGTGACAGAATAATATGTG